ACAGTGTTAAACGAAAATGGATGAGTCATCAGACTAATCGTAACATGCTTTTTGAGTAACGGATTATATGAATCTATAGACCATTGGGTCACTTTCAGGACATTTGTTAGCATCGTTCAATCACTGTTTATTTATATCAGCAGCGTTCACTAACGATCTAGATTGATACACTGTGACCTACAATTTGTGTTAAAATAATGCGACATCAATAAAAAAAATGACAGACAAAACGCTCAAGGTGATAACACTGAAATATAGATTCACAGTTACCATTCCGGGGAATATAACACAGAGTCGGATTCACAGTTAGCTTTCCGGGGAATAAAACACAGACTCAAATTATTTTTTACTTTTCCCGGGAATATAGCATAGACTCGGACTCACAGTTAGCTTTCTCGGGAATAAAACACAGACCCGGATTCATACTTAGCTTTTCCGGAAAATAACAAATGAAGACCTGGAATCACAATTGACTTTCCCGGAAATATGACTCTCGGTAACACAGATCCGGATTCATGGTTAGTTCCTTCATTTTCACGTTTTACGGCACGTGAATGTTTGTGGCAGTGATCAGATCAGACGCAAATTAAATTCATTTGATTTTGAAGTTTCGTTAAAATAAATAAATAATAATAAAAACGCTATGTCTCCATTTTCTCTCCAACTGAGTATTTCTGCACAAAACACAAGATCTCATCCCATAAGAGGCAAATATATCGGCATTCTTGGTCATTTTACATTTTATTGTTAAATGCATTTTGTACAGCATACATCGATTTACTGATATCAGCCAATATTGAATCATACTAGAATCAATGATTTTACTCCAGAGAAATTTAAACTATAACGTCAAGTTACACCAGGTTTATTATGGGCCATGTTGGCGTATTAACTCTATTATGGGTTATGTTGGGGTATTAACTCTATTTTGGGTAATGTTGGGGTATTAACTCTATTATGGGTTATGTTGGGATATTGACTCTATTATGGGTTATGTTGGGGTATTAACTCTATTATGGGTTATGTTGGGGTATTAACTCTATTTTGGGTAATGTAGGGGTATTAACTCTATTTTGGGTAATGTAGGGGTATTAACTCTATTATGGGTTATGTTGGGATATTGACTCTATTATGGGTTATGTTGGGGTATTAACTCTATTATGGGTTATGTTGGGGTATTAACTCTATTATGGGTTATGTTGGGGTATTAACTCTATTATGGGTTATGTTGGGGTATTAACTCTATTATGGGTTATGTTGGGGTATTAACTCTATTATGGGTTATGTTGGGGTATTAACTCTTATTTTGGGTAATGTTGGGGTATCAACTCTATGGGCTATGCTAGGGTATTTAATCTACATTGGGTTATGTTTGGATATTCATTCTATGGGGCATGCGTGGTTATTTCATATAGTTTAGGCCATACTGGGTTTTTTTTTTAATTTAATCTAGGCCATGCATGGGTATTTACTCTTGTCTAGGTCATGCTGGGGTATCTAATCTAGTCTAGATCATGCTGTGGTATCTAATTATCTTGCCTTGGTCATGCTTGGGTATTTCATCTTGCCTAGGTCGTGCTGGGGTTTTTAATCTTGTCTAGGTCATGCTTGGGTATTAATCTGGTCTAGGTCATGCTTGGGTATTTAATCTTGTCTAGGTCATGCTGGGGTATTTAATCTTGTCTAGGTCATGCTTGGGTATTTAATCTTGTCTAGGTCATGCTGGGGTATTTAATCTGGTCTAGGTCATGCTGGGGTATTTAATCTGGTCTAGGTCATGCTTGGGTATTTAATCTTGTCTAGGTCATGCTGGGGTATTTAATCTGGTCTGGGGTATTTAATCTGGTCTAGGTCATGCTGGGGTATTTAATCTGGTCTAGGTCATGCTGGGGTATTTAATCTTGTCTAGGTCATGCTTGGGTATTTAATCTTGTCTAGGAAATGCTGGGGTCTTTAATCTGGTCTAGGTCATGCTTGGGTATTAATCTGGTCTAGGTAATGCTTGGGTATTTAATCTGGTCTAGGTCATGCTTGGGTATTTAATCTTGTCTAGGTCATGCTGGGGTATTTAATCTTGTCTGGGTCATAATGGGGTATTTAATCTTGTCTGGGTCATGCTTGGGTATTTAATCTGGTCTAGGTCATGCTGGGGTATTTAATCTTGTCTAGGTCATGCTTGGGTATTAATCTGGTCTAGGTCATGCTGGGGTATTTAATCTTGTCTAGGTCATGCTGGGGTATTTAATCTTGTCTAGGTCATGCTGGGGTATTTAATCTTGTCTAGGTCATGCTTGGGTATTTAATCTTGTCTAGGTCATGCTGGGGTATTTAATCTTGTCTAGGTCATGCTGGGGTATTTAATCTTGTCTAGGTCATGCTGGGGTATTTAATCTGGTCTAGGTCATGCTTGGGTATTAATCTGGTCTAGGTCATGCTTGGGTATTAATCTGGTCTAGGTAATGCTGGGGTATTTAATCTTGGCTAGGCCATGCTTGGGTATTTAATCTAGTCTAGGTCATGCTGGGGTATTTAATCTTGGCTAGGTCATGATTGGGTATCTAATCTAGTCTAGGTCATGCTGGGGTATTTAATCTGGTCTAGGTCATGCCGGGGTATGTAATCTGGTCTAGGTCATGCTGGGGTATCTAATAATCTAGTCTATGTCATGCTTGGGTATCGAATAATCTTGTCTAGGTAATGCTGGGGTATATAATCTAGTCTTGGTCATTCTGGGGTATTTAATCTGGTCTAGGTCATGATTGGGTATCTAATCTAGTCTATGTCATTCTGGGGTATCGAATAATCTTGTCTAGGTAATGCTGGGGTATATAATCTAGTCTTGGTCATTCTGGGGTTTTTAATCTTGTCTAGGTCATGATTGGGTATTTAACTTTGTCTAAGTCATGCTGGGGTATTTAATCTGGTATAGGTCAAGCTTGGGTATTTAATCTGGTCTAGGTCATGCTGGGGTTTTTAATCTTGTCTTGGTCATGTTTGGGTATTTAATCTTGTCTGGGTCATGCTGGGGTATTTAATCTTGTCTGGGTCATGCTGGGGTATTTTATCTTGTCTATGTCATGCTGGGGTATTTAATCTTGTCTGGGTCATGCTGGGGTATTTAATCTGGTCTAGGTCATGCTCGGGTATTTAATCTTGTCTAGGTCATGCTGGGGTATTTAATCTTGTCTAGGTCATGCTGGGGTATTTAATCTTGTCTAGGTCATGCTTGGGTATTTAATCTGGTCTAGGTCATGCTTGGGTATTTAATCTTGTCTAGGTCATGCTGGGGTATTTAATCTTGTTTGGGTCATGCTGGGGTATTTAATCTTGTCTGGGTCATGCTGGGTTATTTAATCTTGTATAGGTCATGCTGGGGTATTTAATCTTGTCTAGGTAATGCTGGGGTATTTAATCTGGTCTAGGTTATGCTTGGGAATTTAATCTGGTCTAGGTCATGCTAGGGTATTAATCTGGTCTAGGTCATGCTGGGGTATTTAATCTGGTCTAGGTAATGCTGGGGTATTGATTCCATTTTGGGTTTTGTAAGGGTATTCTCTCTATTATGGGTCACACTTGGGTATTTATTTTCGCCCCTCAGACAAGGATAACCCACATAATAACCTTCCTAGATCTTTCTAGCTCGCCCGATCTGTCTGGTACTCCTACGTGCGTTTTCGCGGATTATCTTTACAAATTGGTGTATTCATCCGTGTGTAGGCGTACGTATATATCGGTTAAAAATTTGCTTTGTGGTTTACATTATCTGTTTTTGTAAATCTTTGATGTTGTTGATAAATAGGATTTTCACTGTAAAATGTGTTTTTTTTTACGTGAGGCATACATTGTTTACGCGGCATTATGCAAACGTTGTTTAAAAGTGAAGAGACTGTGTGGGTTTTGCGAGGCTCCCACGGAATACGCCAAACTCTGATGAAAGATTGAATAATTTTCAGAGTAGTAGGTGCAAGAAAAATCTCTGTTACTTGTAACTAAGCGAGATCGGGGTATATCAGTCGAGGGCCAACCTGCTGTAACATAATCCTAACCGAGACGTTAGCCGAGGTAAGGACGTTACAGGATCTTAATCTAGTCTAGGTCATGCTGGGGTATCTTATCTACTTTGTGTCCTGCTTAGGTATTTAACCTAGTCTAGGTCATGCTAGGTATTCACTCTATTTTGAGTTATGTTGGGGTATTTACTCTATTTTGGGTCCTACTGGGTATTTACTCTATTTAGGGTCCTGCTGGGTATTTACCCTATTATGGGTCCTGCTGGGTATTTACTCCTGCTGGGTATTTATTCTATTTAGGGGCCTGCTGGGTATTTACTCTATTATGGGTCCTGCTGGGTATTTACTCTATTATGGGTCCTGCTGGGTATTTACTCTATTTTGGGTCCTGCTGGGTATTTACTCTATTTTGGTCCTGCTGGATATTTACTCTATTTGGGTATTTACTCTATTTTGGGTCCTGCTGGGTATTTACCCTATTATGGGTCCTGCTGGGTATTTACTCCATTCAGAGTCCTGCTGGGTATTTACTCTATTATGGGTCCTGCTGGATATTTACTCTATTATGGGTCCTGCTGGGTATTTACTCTATTTTGGGTCCTGCTGGGTATTTACTCTATTTTGGGTCCTGCTGGGTATTTACTCTATTTTGGGTCCTGCTGGGTATTTACTCTATTATGGGTCCTGCTGGGTATTTACCCTATTATGGGTTATTCTGGAACATTAACCCTATTTTATGCCTTATTTTGGTATTTACTACAATTTGGGTTTTGCTTGGGGACCAAATCTAGTTTGGGTCAGGCTGGGATATGCTGACAATTCTTGATCATATTTATGTTTTAAAAGCCACACTAGTGTTTTTTTTTAGTAAAGAGCGGAGAAATGCTGTATACAAGATAAGGACAGATATACAATCTTATGAGTCAGTCAATAATCCCCCTTGTACGACAGTGGGGACATACGTACACATACAAAATGCGTGCTACAAACCTGATGTGTGCATACTTGATTCCACATGACCACTTTCCGCGTCAACGTCCCGACCCCCAGGAAGCAGGGTGTCAGTTGCCACCGGTGTCGTCTGCTCGAAGTCAGTCATTTTGATACTCAGATACTCAGTTGACTTTCCTGTACTCTCCAAATGTTTTGATTTCTATTCACAGAATATCGACATCGTACATTTAATATCCATTCTAACCTCAACCATTGTTTGTTGGTTATTCACAAGTCATCACATTACGTTGTTCCATTGGAAAGCAGTGAAAAGCTCTGGTCCTTTGGTATTAAATTAAACTCCGTGTTTGTGAGAGTTCAAATAGCACATCATTCGGACTTAAGTTCTGCATAAAAACTGTCATCATTGCCCCAGCCTCTCGCTGCTTCTCGCTACGTACAGCGAGGCGTGTAAATAGTTTGCGCTGTGTGTAGTCAGTGCTTATTTTCATATACACGTAGCAATATTTATTTGTGACACACTGGTTACATTCACGTACATATAGCTATATTTATTTATTTACGTGTCTCCTGTATGCTCTGTACATGTACAGTATATAGGCACGCAGTTACCTTAGCGAGACTGTGTAGCGACTCCGGTATGCCAGGTAAATCTCCAGGTAGGATAACACCCCTGTGATTCAGGTAAGGAAATTTGAAACTAAAGGTGCTCCGTCGCTATTCAAATACACATAACTCACCACAAAGTAAACACTATTGTTTGGCTGGAGTCATTTTGTCGAATCATTATTCCAGTATTAAATTGAAAAAGTATTCTTAAATTTCACTTTATAGAAAAGTAAAATTTAATTCGTCACGAGAATTGGATTCGTTTTCTACAGTTTTATACAGTTCTGACATACGACCTTCCTCGTTCTCTTGTTCTAACGTAAAAACCTTCCTTGATTTACGTGTGAATTCTCCCTCAAAGGATACCCCAGCGTTTGGGCAGCGTTCTTCAAAGAATCACCTGATTAAAAATGACAGCCTTTCTATAAGGTGTAAAAGTATTGCGAGACATCAGCTCAAAGAGACTCGGCCACGGGAATAGCTGTCAACATTACACACTACCGCCTTCCATATAAACGAATACTTTTGTAAAAGGTACAAAAAACACAACATGAAGTGAGAAAGGCAGAGCTAGCACTGAGCCATGTCAGTGATACAGGCGGTTTAGTTAGTGTGGCAGTGATCATCCCTGTAGGCGAGCGAGTGTCACCAAACACTTCCCCTTGGCGACGGGAGCCTAGAGAAAGTACAACATACACCCTTACCTGCTTTGATGGTGTTTGATTAGATCATCGACGTCTCTTATCGGCGGTATCATCGCCGTTATATTTCGTTTAGTTGTTTGATTGTGATCGTACCCCGAGTATTAAATAGTGAAAGCATTGTTGTCCGTGAGCGCCTCGCCAGGTCCTTGAATATGGTTTTGTGGTGGTCATTGTTATGTGTTGACCAACTCCGCTAGTTAGAGTCGATAATTAATTCCATTTCATTACACAGACAGCTGGTCATGTATTTGGCTCCTAACGCCGCTCTTAACAGTCCAGTACCTTGAAAACAATGTCGTAATGTCATGACGGGCAATACAAAAAGAAATCCAGTGAAAATAACAGTTGAATAATTTATATATAGATGATAACTGGGTTTCGATACGAATTAAATGGAAATAAACCTGTGTCGGTTATATTCGTCATTCGGACTTCATAATGTTAATAAATAAAAAATAAAAAATATTTTTTTGAACTTTAACATCTTCAATTGTATTACTCTGCTATAAATAAACATTTCTGGAAAATCAACACGATGGATGAGCGAAAGATAAGAATTTTCCAAGAATTTGGAATCTGCACTCTATATACTTCCAAGCGCTACAAAATGGTTCAGAACAAACCACTCCCCGCTATTCTCGTTCCCTCTTCATCATTTCTGTTGCTGTCGCCCCATTTTTCACATAGCTGAGAGCAAAGACATCGGTAACATAACTGAATCAAGATTTCGTGTTTTTATTAATGTATCGATGAGACGGTATGAGAAGGCCTGGTGGAAATTCATGCGGAAAATTGATGATAAGGGTTCAAGATCGCACTCAGTCTCACTCCGTAAACAAATTAACACCAATTGAAATGGAACAGTGTTATATTGCATCTGCGTCAACAGACAGACAATACCTTTTTCTTAATGCTAATTAATTTGCCTTCGGAATTACTTTCCTGTCACTTTCCATCCTGTTCGAGGTGACTTAATGGCGAAATAATCTCCGTTTTGTCCGCGAGCTAATATATAAGCTCAATCAGACTGAATGTGTTCCAAAAAATCACGGGATTCCGTAGAAAAAAAATCCCATGCTAACATGACTCACGGGGGCGTAATTCTCGCCAATGGTTTATTCAAACCACTTTTCTCCATCCAATAATTTCAGTAACGGGAAGTATATGTACTCTTTGATATTTTCACATATTGTCTGTAACACATAACCTAGGAACTCAAACACCAAACTTAGTCAATAATGAATGTCTATTACGACCCGTGTTATTCCTATTTGCTATGATGTTCATTTGACGAAATATGGATTAACCGTTTGACAGTGTGAAAATATCTACACAGTTGAGAATGAAAAAAAAACAGATAGTCCGACACCACTTCATATGTGCTTTCATTTCTGTGTTTTGAAGATATAATATATGTCTACATCATGTAAAAACTGCTCACACGCGCTGTAAAACATCATCACTCACAGCAGCGACACTTCATGACTTTCTGTGCATTCACTACGGGATGCCCCTATAACAAAAGTCATAATATGTAAGTTAGACAAGCGATCTGTAGGTCATTTATGATATCCTGATGTAAGGAGTTTGTCAAAACAGTTTGAAGTATTTTTATATATAGAAGAAAAAGTGAGAACAAAATCGACAAGCGCCTGTGTGATGTAGACAGAGATATTGTAACCATCAGGCAAAACTGATTTTGAACTGTGCATCAACAAGTGTGATCTGTAATTGCGATGTATATAACTGATTTTGAAACCATGCAAAACTGATTTTGAACTGTGCACCAACAAGTGTGATCTGTAATTGTCGATGTATATATCGACGGTGTCCAGATATAGATCTTGAAACCATCAGGCAAAACTGATTTTGAACTGTGCATCAACAAGTGTGATCTTTAATGTCGATGTATATATCGACGGTGTCCAGACATAGATCTTGAAACCATCAGGCAAAACTGATTTTAAACTGTGCATCAACAAGTGTGATCTGTAATTGTCGATGTATATATCGACGGTGTCCAGATATAGATCTTGAAACCATCAGGCAAAACTGATTTTGAACTGTGCATCAACAAGTGTGATCTGTAATGTCGATGTATATATCGACGGTGTCCAGATATAGATCTTGAAACCATCAGGCAAAACTGATTTTGAACTGTGCATCAACAAGTGTGATCTGTAATGTCGATGTATATATCGACATAAAACTCCTGTCAGATCTGGATTTTTTTAGAGATTGAAAACTATTCATGCTCTGATATTGGTGGTGATTATTTAGATAGTTTACATTTTGAAATCTGAAACATAGATTGGTCGGGAATTGATACAGTGGGAAAATAGCAGCTTTCTCGCGATCTCGCACATTCTCGCTGGAGGAGACGAGAAATGATGAAACATAACTCGCCATGAACATATACATTTCTGTTATTGTTCGATCATTTATCACCATAAAAATAGCATATCAAGCTTAAATTCAGTTAAAACGCTCCATCAAAGCCTCAATCGCTTTCGAAGAAATGACTAAAATGTTAGAGTAGCTTAACGGGCAAGATTGACATCTCTGACGATGGTGTCATTGCTATGTGCTGACATCGCTCGGTCTTGTTTGATCTCGTCAAATACCATGGAGTACAGGGTTACACATGTGACTAGATCGTTGTAGAAAACTGGGATATGCTTCATTTTTTAAGTGCAATCTGTGTCTTGGAAATAACTTTTTAAACAACCAGGTTGAGCAAAGGATCCATCTATCATTAACCAATTGATCCCATCGGTACTGAGAGCAGTCGCTTGAATTTCTTGCGTCGATTTAGATAATTTACATTGAGGTTCTTATGAATACTAGTATTTTAGCTATAGAAATACGAACGAAACTGGCTATCCAACTATATAGGCGTAATATACGCGTTGATTTGGGAAGCCTGGGGCGGTCATCCTCTGACCTCTGTGAAGTCATAGAGAGGAGACGTCATTTGACGTGAAGACTGCGAGAGCTGAAATAGTTGCGAGCTGAGAAGCAGTGGCGGCCTACGGAGTATTGGGGGCTGTTTGATAGTGGCGGACTGTGGAGAAGTGGGGCAGTGTAATAGTGACTGTCTGTGGAGAAGTGGGGCGTGGCGGACTGTGGAGAAGTGGGGCTGTGTAGTAGTGGCGGTCTGTGGAGAAGTGGGGCTGTGTTGTAGTGGAGGCCAGTGGAGAAGTGGGGCTGTGTAGTAGTGGCGGCCAGTGGCTCTGGAGAAGTGGGGCTGTGTTGTAGTGGAGGCCAGTGGAGAAGTGGGGCTGTGTAGTAGTGGCGGCCAGTGGCTCTGGAGAAGTGGGGCTATGTAGTAGTGGCGGTCTGTGGAGAAGTGGGGCTGTGTAGTTGTGGCGGTCTGTGGAGAAGTGGGACTGTGTAATAGTGGCGGTCTGTGGATTAGTGCGGGTTACGTAATAGTGGCGGTCAGTGGCGGTCAGTGGCGGTTTACGGAGTAGTGGAGGTAGGTAACAGTGGCGACCAGTGGCGGCCTTCGGAGTTGTGTAATAGTGTCAGACTGTGGAGTAGTGGGGGTTGTGTAATAGTGGCGGACTGTGGAGAAGTGGGGCTGTGTAATAGTGGCGGACTGTGGAGTAGTGGGGGTTGTGTAATAGTGTCAGACTGTGGAGTAGTGGGGGCTGTGTAATAGTGTCAGACTGTGGAGTAGTGGGGGTTGTGTAATAGTGTCAGACTGTGGAGTAGTTTGGCTGTGTAATAGTGGCGGCCTGCGGAGTAGTTGGGGCTGTGTAGTAGTGGCGGCCTGCGGAGTAGTTGGGGCTGTGTAATAGTGGTCGCCAATGGCGGCCAGTGGCTGGATGTGGATAGTGGGGGCTGTGCAACAGTGGCGGCCAGTGGCGGCCTGTGGAGTAGTAGCGGTTGTGTAACAGTGGCGGCCAGTGGCGGGATGTGGAGTAGTGGGGGCTGCGTAATAGTGGCGGCCTGCGGAGTAGTAGGGGTTGTGTAATAGTGGCGGCCTGCGGGTAGTGAGGGCTGTGTAATAGTGGCGGCCCGTGGAGTAGTGGGGCTGTGTAGCAGTTGTGAACTGAGGAGTAATAGGGGCTGTGTAATTTGCCAACAATATTTAGTTTGATATGATTATAATAGGAGTCACTGCTTGTAACCGGATGCAGGAGAAGGAGCGACTGCAGCGACTAGAAATTTGTGTGCAGAAAAAAGCCGATATATATTTAACGTTTAAGTCCACCAGCATTAACCCCGATACTCCATGAAAGAACAAATTAATATAAACTGAACATTGGACACTAATCCTCTCGTGTGTATTCACTGTTTTTTTAAGATTTAACTGAAGTACGGATTTCATTTCATGACATTAATGAAGACAGATGTTTTCGAAGTCAGCGATGTCTTTGAATAGTGACGTAAAAATTGTTAGACACGTGCATTATGGGTAATTTAGACTGTAAACTCTAAACACAATCATTAATTCGGTTCAATGTGTCGTTCTTGATGAAATCACACTTTCCGCGGCGAGTACTCTAAATGTTTGTCGATTTATTTCAAAAGACATATTTATAATCAAACGAAATTGTCTCTCCATTTCTCGTTTAAACACTCACCAATAGTAACACATCGATTACAATAGACACAAATGCTTTTAATTCTTTTTAGTTATTTTAGTATCAAGACTTATCAAATATATGTGACAGTGTTGTCTGTATTAGCTGATAAGCTTGATTTTTTCAACAGTTTTTCATCAAACTGTGTGATAAACGTTCTGACTTAATTTGCGAATGAAGGTGGCACGTGGTGGTGCCATTGTACTCATTTGAAGAACATGACATTACTTGCTTAGGATGGATGAAGAAGTAGAAGTCATGTACTCTCCGTGAAAGGCTTACCATACAGTAGCTCTTATATTCCAATTGTTTCATTAATATTTACTTTTGATTACGATTTTGTTATCTTGTTATCTAGATGTACGAGAAACAGCTGTTTATCTATTTATTTTAATTTAATTTTTGTTCAAGTTGTTGTTTGATTTTTTTAAAATGTTTTGATCTGTACGTACTCCTTATTTGTGTATGCTTGCGCGTGCGTGTGTTCTATCAAATAAGTATTTGCACTTTTACAACATTACGTGTTGAAAAGCGTAATGACTTTAGTACATTTGAATTTTTTCTCACCCATGTTACAGAAGGATAAATTACAGTTTTAATCAAAGGAAAAACATATTGTTTCACGATGAAATTACAAGTTATATTCCCCAGACGAACTCATCGCTGTACCGGCATACTGCTATGGTATTCATTTCATGTTTTGTTATAAAGTTGACATTTCCAAAGTCAGAATGAAATCCTCAATATCCGGCCAGACGTGCAGTTCTGAGTGATCATTAGATGACGAGGACACTCCCTTAACGCGCTAGAAACATAATATACACAGGGACGGCTGCAAGACTCCTAGACAGTCCCTATTGATTGGTGCGAGTTCACTGCAGAATAGTCATTCCCCAATTCACTTGTCGTTAAAGTAATATGTTCATTTATTGAGCAAATTGTGAAAGTGTGACCACGACAGTGATGTGTTTTCCAATTTGTTCCTATTTCAGTTTTTCCGATGATACCACCACGATTGGTTTGCCGTACAGTATGATCGATCTTTTGTGAAAGAGGTTATTGACAGAACACCAAGTGTAATTCCTCAATGAATCTTTTCACTCTAAAAGAAAACTGATAATTATGTAATATTATCAGATGGCTTGTCATTTTGATAACGTGCACAAAGTGACATTGACTGATGTTATACTTCCCAGGAACAGATCGTGTCGGATTTTCATCTGCTATTTGATAATAATTCGCGCCATGTCCGTGGTCTCATTTCAGCTACGTCTAAACATGTGTTCGATAACAACAACGACATGAACATGAAGAAAGAAGATAGGTTTTTGATGAAAGCTAAATGTATTGTAATCTGGTACCTTTATCGTTTGGAAAGAAATAAAGAGAAATGCATTATTGTCATGATAAGAGGATTTGATAACACGGTGTTTTTAATCGAATTTAACGACAACCAATTTCTGCTAGCAGTTAACATGCCGTACTTATAGCATACGATACGTCTTGTGGGTTGAGTTATTGGATTAAAATTGTACGATATAATATCTTCTATAAAGATTACAAAATTAAGGAGGCATTTTGAAAGAAATAAGGATCTAAGACAGATTATTAAATAAAATATTCAGTGGCGTAGCAAATGTTTTAAGGAGTGTATGCTTTCAAGAGAGGGTCCAGAGGCAAAGCCTCGATGGAGAGTCTTGGGGGCGAACCCCCCTCCCCCGACCCCAAAAGCTGTCGGATATTAGCTAATCGGAAATGTTTTTCTTTTTAAACATACACATTTCATTAAAAAAAAATGACAAAATGCAGTAACAATAATCGCAGTTTCGAGCGTATGCTTAATTATACAAGCAAACATTATTACTACGTCACTGATTTTCTAGGTACACCTTTAAAAGTACATTTTAGATAAATACAAAATCACTTAGCAAACCCCGACGTCCACTCATCGAAACAGTTGATACGAAGCCGATGGCATCAAAGCTTAGCGACCTTAGAACAATTTGCATGAACATCGACGCACCTGTTCAGTCAAGACAGTATGGAACAAGAAAGAAAGGGTAAAGAAGAAAGAATTTACACCAATATCCTACATATGGAATCAATATTTAAGCTGGATCTTACGTAAACATTGACACCGACAAGTAATAAAGCAAGGCTTATACTTCTCTAATGTAAATTTTTAACCTTAAAACGCCGTGACTACGCCATGCTTCTGAATTTTAACTGGTAACAAAATTGTTTTGGTGGTGAGGTTGTACTAGAATCACGCAATGTGTAAAACATAATGTCCAGACGCCCATACTGGCGTGTACATTGCATGTGCCTTGGCGTTCTCAATTAAAGTTTATTTGAAACAGCATTGGGGTTTAATTTTCTGCACTGATTATTTGTATGAAGTCTTTCTGTTGTCAACACGTCGTATTGTACACAAACACAAAGAATATCATTTCAACTAGGTAGAAATTTCAGATTTCTCACGAAGACAAAATGCACAGGTTTTAGTTCTGCATCCAGGTTATAGATCTATAAATTGACCGCTTCGATTAAATCTGTTCACTAAAGGATTTCATGGTAATGAACACTTCACATTTGTATTTTTTACTCATCTTCTTTTTGTTCGGAAGGTGTAGTCTTTACTTTACCAACCTGAAGAAAATGTTCCGAAATACATGTGAATGTGAGTCTTTGATGTTTCTCCAATCCCAGATTTTTTTGTTCTTACTAAATGTATACGTAATCATTGTCCTATAAAAGGACAAGTGGGAGATCTCAGTATCTGGTAGGGATTTTGTTTTAAAATTTTATTCTTTTTATATGGCTATAGACTGTTGACCTATATAATGTCGTGGTTTTACTTGGAACCGAAAACTTTAACGGACTTGTGACACCTTAACACAATATTGTGTTTTAGGAGGATACCAACTTGTACTTAAAGGTTTCCAGCATGGCCTCCTTTTCATGAAAATGGTACTATTCTCTGAATAACGCGGTTAGTACATCTCCCCGTGTAGATTTTGACTTTTCTTTCGATCTCTTCAGAATTTCTCTTTCGTCTATTAGGCTTCAAAATTTACAGCCTTAGCATCACTGACGAGTCCGAGAAGGACGAAACAGCTACATGATGTAGCATCACTGACGAGTCCGAGAAGGACGAAACAGTTACATGTTTTAGCATCACTGACGAGTCCGAGAAGGACGAAACAGTTACATGTTTTAGCATCACTGACGAGTCCGATAAGGATGAAACAGCTACATGATGTAGCATCACTGACGAGTCCGAGAAGGATGAAACAGCTGTATTATGTAGCATCACAGACGTGTCCGAGAAGGATGAAACAGCTGCATGTTGTAGTATCACTGACGAGTCCTAGACGGACGAAACAGCTGTATGATGTTGCATCACTGACAAGTCCAGAAAGAACGAAACAGCTGTATGATGTAGCATCACCGGACGAGTTCAATAAGGATCAAACAGCTGTATGATGTAGTATCACTGTGGAGTACTAGGAGGACAAAACAGCTGTAAGATGTAGCATCACTGACGAGTCCTAGAAGGACAAAACAGCTGTAAGATGTAGCATCACTGACTAGCCCGAGAAAGAACCAAACAGTTGTGATGTAGCATCACTGATGAGTACTAGAAAGACGAAACAGCTGTGTGATGTAGAATCACTGACGAGTCTGTGAAGGACGAAACAGATTTATGATGAAGCATCACTGACGAGTACTGTAAGGACGAAACAGCTGAATGATGTATCATCACTGACGAGTACTATAAGGACGAAACAGCTGTATGATGTAGCATCACTGACGAGTACTATAAGGACGAAACTATAAGGACGAAACAGCTGTATGATGTAGCATCACTGACGAGTCCGAGAGGGACCAAACAACTGTATGATGTAGCATCACTGACGAGTCCGAGAGGGACCAAACAACTGTATGATGTAGCATCACTGACGAGTCCGAGAGGGACCAAACAACTGTATGATGTAGCATCACTGAGGAGTCCGAGAGGGACCAAACGACTGTATGATGCGGTTTAATTCAATTTTTGGCTCTTCTGTATTTAATTCTAATTTGTATTAAAATGTGTTTCATGCTATCATGCTACCACTGTAAACACATCTTATTCTCTTCTGTTCAAATTTACCCTTGGTTCGTTGATTTTGAGGTTGAATTAGGACTGTTAATAAGCCAGTATTTTCTTGTTTTTAAGAGGTTTCTCGGTGTGAGTTAACAACATTTACTGCGGTACCGCCATCTTAACATTTCACAGGCATAGCCGACTGTATTTGACAGCCGTTATTCATTTTGAGTATGCAAACAGCCGAATGTGGACTACAAATCATACAGCGATAAAAGAGACATTGAACTCGGAGAATGCATGTATCAAAATGGAAAATTGGATGCGTTTTTCAAAGGTTGCAATATGGTCGTGATGTTTTCTAATACAAGAATTCTATAACTGGTAATTGAAACGCACACAAAAACGTTTTCTGGAGTAAGAAGAAGGTCTTTGGGCCTTTGTTATATGATTCACAATCATATTGCGGTCCGTTGAACGACACATTGTACAATGGTGAATGAAAGCCTTGTATACGGACCATGACGTATGCATACGGTTGTTGTTCAATACCGGAAGTCGCAGGAAGTCTACAGATGGTTCCATTCTATGTAATATTGGGCTTATGCAGAGTTCATTAGTGACTATGTTACAAGTCTTTAGGTACATCACATTAAAACAAGTGGGTAATGATGTCATTATCACGACGTAACGAACAAAAACTATCCAACAGTTTTTTTTCAGGATAACATTGACAAATATCGACAAGCATGGGACACGTTTTCTAACATAGACGAGACAATCGTGTGACGTCATTTACATGCAAAAGTACCATTACATACGTGTCATAGGAGAATAAGCTACTGATGTGATAGAGACCGGGCATAGGAATATTACACGGGATGATAAGCTTGTAATGTAAGAGAGAACATGTATAGGAGTATTATACAACTAGGAGAATAAGCTAGTGATGTGATAGAGTCAAGGTGTAGGAGTATTACACGAGGGAATAAGTTGTTGGTGTGATAGAGACCGAACATAGGAGTATTACACGAGAGAATAAGCTCGTGATGTGAAAAGAGACCAGAAATAGGGAGTTTACATGGGATAATAAGCTTGTGATATGATAGA